TTTTTTTTTTTTTTTTTTTTTTTTTTTTTTTTTTTTTTTAGTTTAAATAAATTGAATTGTAAAATGAAATTAAATAGATGACTGATTTCTATAAGCTAAGACAAATGTACTTCAATTCACACCATTATCTTTGAAACAGTTCAAACATTCTTTAAAGAATTTAAGTACCCACAGAAATAAAGACCATTGTTTATATATATAAATTTGTGCATAATTTCAACAAATACCATGAAACTCCTGCATTTAAAAAACATTCCAGCACTCCTAGGTTCCTCCCGGACCTAGCCCATAGCCCAACAGAGCACACATTCTACAAGCACGACTCATTCCTACCTGGCGCTCATTACAGACACTTAAACCTCTCTGCTCATAAGTCACCTGGTTCTTTCACCCAAGTATCTGCCGAGTACTGTTCAGTAGCCTTGTGCCCCCCTGTGCTCTACCCCATCCAAGGAGGTCCTGCCACCCCGAGCCAGTGGGCAGTCTCCGCCCCTCACTAGAGCCCCAGCTCCTGCTCCGAGCACTGCCCACCCGGCCAGGTCAGGTCTGCTCCCACCCCAAGCAGAACCAGAGCCGCACCCCAGTGCAGGGCACTAATTGGCTTTGCCTGGGCTGAAGTTCAGGGGTGACTCACGAAGCAAACACAACAGGGTGCAGGGGCAACAGGATTAATGCCCCGTCGTTCATCCACTGCAGTGGGTAAGTGACTCATCTTATTAATTCTCTATTAGTTACTCACTGACTAGCACAGCCCAGACTTCCTTAACTTTACTCCAAATGTGATCTTTCACTTTAATGTTTTCCTCACCTGCACTACTGACCACCACCCTGCCCCAGGTTAACTAATTCCTACCAGCTCCTCTATAACTGGTGCCTGGTAAGCACTCGGTGAGCTGAGTGTCCCTTGATTGGTTCACAGAAACCAGTGCTCCAGACTAGTCCTGGCATTTAGTTTAAAGGCAGGACTGCGACACTGAGGCAGCAGGGCATCCAGCAAACTGGAACAGAGCCCTACCATCTGGGCTCACATCCCAGCTCTGTCCCACGGGCGAAGTGCCCTGAGGCCAGCCCTAATTCTGGAAGCAGGGCCCTGGCAGGGTGAAGCAGGTCAGCCTGTGGCTCGGTCGCTGAGCTTGGTGAGGACATGTGCAAGAACGCAAGCCCAAAGCCTTTACTGCAGAAAGTTACATTATGTGTTCTCACACTTTATCCACCTAAAGAGGGCAGAGTGGCTAATTCCTAATGCACAACAAACGATGTTTTCAAAAGCCATCAAAGGTACGAGACCTGCTGTAACGACACTCTCCAGCCTGGTCCTTCCAGTCAGCGAGACGGAGACTAAGCTGTGCACACCACCTCCAGACAGGTTCAGTGTGGGCCCTCTGCCACGATGCAAAAAGTTTAGCCTGGCCGGGCGTGGCTCAGTGCTGAGCATCGACCTAGGATCCAGGAGACAGAGGTACGATTCCCCGTCGGGGCACATGCCCAGGTTGTGGGCTCGATCCCCAGTAGGGGGCGTGCAGGAGGCAGTAGATCAATGACTCATTTCTCTCTCCCCCTCGAATCCCTCTCTCTGAAATCAATAAAAATATATTTTAAAACAAAAAAATAAAAGGAAATTTAACTTCTTGTCTCTGAAATAAAATTCTATCAAAGAACAAGTGCCACTATTGGCCGTGACAGCACAGCAGTGACTGGCTAAAAAAAGCCCTGTAGGTGACAACTGGGAGACACAGCCATGTAACAGACACAGGGTAGATTTTGGTAAAATACCTACAAATGTAATAAAATGCCCAAAGGTACGACCACTGGAGCAGCAAAAGCACACAGGAGGCCGTGGGAATCCCGGGCAGCAAGCAGGACTGGAAGATGGGACAGACCAGTGACCGCACTCAGCAGCTCCTCCGGCACGAGGGGTGTGGCCTGGCAGCCCTGCTTCTTCCTGCTTGGGCAGGTTCTGCTCCCATAATCACGAGCTCTGCGTAACGTTCTCCTATGACGTGCATCTAAGTGCAGAGCGGGCCCATGGCCAGCAGGGCTGTTGTGGCCACTGTGCACTGCATAGCCCAGGATCAAGTGAAAAAGTGCGTGGAGGGCCGTGCCTGACACCTGGCAAACATTCCCTCTGAAATCAGCTTTAATTCCATGGAATAAAGCTACATAGCCTACGCTCTAAATTTAAATAAAGAAACAGGTCTTTTCTTCTAAGTTAGCAATCCCTGAGATGGAAAATTCACTCACCCCTGGCGAAACGAAAGTCCACTGGGCGGCAGGGACGGCTCGACTCAGAGCCAGCCAGTCAGAAGCCAGCTTCAGTCCTCTCAGGATATCTGAACCGGTCCTACTGAAAACCTAACATAAATGCTAAGCATTTCCAAAATGCTGTTTCCAGTCTCCCTTTACATCACTGCTAATTAAAGCCCACATGTAACATTAGAGCCTTCCTATTTGTATCCCGGCCCGAAGGCGGTGGCCTCCTCCCACCTCAGCCTGAGACTCGAGGGAGATCTGATTGCATTCAGTATCTGAATAATATTGGAATAGTAAGTGAAAAATGGATTGAACATGTTTTCAATGGCATCAGAAAATCCTAGGAAGAACCCAAAGTTAACATTTTGCAAAGTGATATTACAAGAGGGGCCCTGTCCAGGCTTCACTCTCCTCATTTTTTGGATCCCTTTCAGGCCACTCTCTTCCTTTCCCTAAAATGCTGTCGCTGGTTCAACCATGTCACAGGCCAGGTTCCAGTGAGTGCCCTGGACAGCAGGAGGGAGAGGCTGAGTGCTACCAGGCACCACACACCCGCTGCAGAGAGGAGCTGGGCGCGTATCAGGCCTCGCTCCAGGCAGACCTCTCCCAGGCTGCCCAGCCCAGCAGGTTAGCACACGGGGGACCCAGAGAGCCTCCCCTGCCCCCGTATGGGAGTACTTTTTTAGGGTGGACAGTTTTCGATTTTGAGCTGCGAGACCTAACAGGGAAAAAGCGTGCACCCCAGGAGATGGTGGGGCAAGAGTGCCACCTTCACACGCAGAAGGAAGCACCGACGTTACAGGTGGCCCCGTGTCTCCTTTTACCTGGTCT